CTTCTTGTCTTTTTTATAAATGTAAGAAGTAGAAGTAAAAAGTAGGCTGAAAAATGAATTACTCAAGTAAAGTACAGATACCCAGAAACAAAGTATTTGTACTTAGTTACTTTACAACTCTGATATAAGCATTTCTCGTCAGTTGATATAGATATTTATTATTGTTTTTTTGTTTTACCTGTTTGAAATAAGGACCATATGGACAAAGGTTGAGTAATAATAAACTGACAAACTACGATGTGACCTTTTCTCTTTTATTCACAATTTCCTCTCAAGCTGTTGCATCATTTTCTGTTTTCACCCCACATCGTTCTGTTTATATTCTTCAGCAGTTATAATGATGAAACATGAAACTCATGCTGTGTAATGTTACTCAGCTGATTGTTGCTAATGCTAACTGAACAAAGAGTGAGTTAGCTGATGCCACCAGCCTTGTTTAGTGTCAGCCTTTCTTCTGCCTACATCCCCCAGAATGCTGTGCGGTTCCAGATTGGAGTTCAGTGAATTTATCAACATTTGACACATTTTCAATTAATACTGATCATGTTTCTATTGTGATGTATGTTTCTGAATTATTGCTCAGGCTTTACAGTGTCCCACCATGCCACTGATCTGGACACTCACACATTGTATCATCATATGTGATCCGGTGATACTTACAATATTTCTTTACTAGATTTGTATTTTTCTCTAAGCGTATTTTCTGTTTCGTCAGGGTGAAGGAGTTTGGATTGCATGTGAGGACAGGTGTCAGCTGAGCCAGCCATGGCAAACAGTGCAGAGGATGTTGAAAACAACATGGTCGGTATGAAAGTATGTGTCACAGCTGTCCTCCTGTCTTWTTATATTAGGTAATGATCACACAGCAGTTATTGCCTGAATAAAACTGTTTGTGTCATGGTGATAAGGAAAAACCCAAAGCTGAAAGAACGTGGAAGCCTAGCCTACAAAACKAACACTTATCTATAAAGACATAAAAGAGCCTACATCTCTAACATGATGGAGAAAAATAAAGGATTATCATATTCCTTTTCCAGATTATTAATCCATTAGTTACACACTCCCGTTATTCTCTAGCAGAACAACTATCATCCAATACATGCAGTTGGTTTGTAGCTTTCTTTAGTAATAAAGTTTTATTATCAGTGTAAATAAAAGCTGTTTCCTGTGCAGCTGACAGAAACAGTCAAAGTCCCTTTTTTACAGCCAGASTCTTCCTCTCAACCCAAAACATTACAGTGAGCTGTGTTTACCCTGGAAAACATGTACCGTACAGTCTGGAGTTATCTTTCAAAGAATCATCACTTCTGTCCTGAATGGAATAAATGAATGAATTAATAAAAACAATAATAATATGTCCGTAAAGGCTTCTTTATTAAAGGAATCCATGATTAGTTGTAACATTAGACTTTATTTAATAAACCTATTTTAACAGTAAAATAAAGACTGTAAAAATACTGTAGGATGTTTCGTTTTTATAATTTATGTAAATATATTTTAACACGAACGGGGCCATTTTATTTCCACACAAAGCATTCTGGGTAAATGATGACGTGGATAGGACCTCGGTGCGAGGCT